ATATAGTAGGCAAATATTTTTTTCAAAATGCACTGAAAATCTAAACCTGAGAAACAGTAATAAAAGTTTTACTAAGTTTTAATAAAATGATTTACAGTGATGCTGTTTTCTAGCTAGTATGCTGACCATCCAATCAAAGGACGAGAAAATACTGACGTTATCGTTAGCCAGCTAGATGGCCCTGGTGCTGCCAACTCGAAATCTGATTGGTTAAAGCAACGGTTTCATCGCCATTGATTTAAGCTAACAGACGCCTGCACTGTTGATTCTGAAGGCCTTAAGGCAGATTTCTTTGACCCTGGCAACACGATTGCTGAAATATGATTGGATAAAAGCTCTAATATAAACATACACTGCTGGAAGCAGAGCAACCAAGAGAAAAGCTATGAAAGGAAGAGAATAGACTATTGGAAATAATTTAATACACATTAATGGAAAAATATATTACAACTAAATCAGTGATTCTGATAGTGTTTAGGCCAGCAGAGAAGGCTTTGCTGGCCCTGACGGCCCACCACTGCTATAATTAATCACCACATTATGATAAACACCAAAGTGAATACAAAATCTGAATGGCTGGTGGCCCTAAGAAACCACTTATGTCACATATTAGGTACGGCACTGACTATCAACTATGGAAGATAACGTTACTACAGTGATATACCTGTAGATAAATATAGCATCAGAAAAGTTTTGCCATCACAGAACACAAAAACATTGTAAACACTTGAACCAATGAATCTAACAGATCTGCAAATGAGGGTGTAACTCCATAATGCTATATTCCAAGTTTTCTATCAAAACAGTTGTTTTGGGAAATGTAATTATTCAGAGAAAATGTTGACCTGCACCCATTATAATCATGAAAGATGACAAACATTTTCCTTTCCTTTCCAATCTGCATTTAAAGTGAAACTGAAAGTTAGACCTGCATGTATAAATACACCCTGTGACGAGAGCTGCCATCACATCACACCTGCACATCCTTCAGGAGCACAAGACAGTAAATATAGTTCTGTGATTCTTCACATTACTCTGTTCAAACGACACAAGATTACAAATGGGAGGAAGTGAATCAATATCAGGCAAGTACTGCATAGAATAATGGGATTGTCTCTGACTCTGATAACTGATGCATCTTTTAACTTAATTTACCTTTCAAATATATTTGCCATCTATTTTATCAAATTGTATCTATTTAAATGCATAAATTCATAAAATGCATCAGTTCAACAAAATTAACTTACAATATTCAGAATTAAACGACTGCATTTAAAAGTCTATTTGAATGACTTGATTGAGTCTGCGTGGATCCTGTAGTCACTCCCAGGTGTCTGTGATTAGAATACAGACTGAACCTGCGGTATTTAACTGAACTTTAGCAGTATGGCCATACAATGTCCAAATAAGAGTGTTACATTGCAAGAATGGGTGTGGTTCTGAAACAGAAATAAGCAAATAAAATAATAGCAAATAAACAAAGTATTGTGACGATAATTACACTCACATAAATGATCTATTTAATGTATGTAACATACACAAATCTAATCTGTGATTGATGCAAACAACAGCGCTCAATTGCGCCGTACTGTCACCTATATAGAAAAGTGGCTGGCTGTTGTGGTATATGGGTAAACTTCACTTTCCGCGTTCCGTTCCGTCTCACGCACAGCTTTCAAGGTACACTCGACACATGCGCATTAACATTATCACCTACTTGACTCGTTCTTTCTCAACATTCAAGGGGGCGCTCGCAAGCACCCTTCTGAATCCCAAAGTGACAAACAGGACAGCCATTCAGTCTTGTGAACATCACGGACATGCGCACGTGGCTGCCATTTAAGTCCTAATGTTAGTCAATGTTATTCAGTTTCACAACCGTAACAAATGTCAGCTTATGTACTGTCCACAAGTTGGTGGTGGCCATGCATGAAAGAGTTCATTCCACCTTATTTCTAATTATACTAATGCTGTTACAAGCACTCTCTGTCTCCCCTTTTTATGAAAATTACACACCATAGATACAATCTCAGAGATTGAGATACTACCAATTTATTGTTAAACTGAATTGTTTATTATATATATATATATATATTATTATTATTATTATTTTTTTTTCATAGAACTGGACAAACTTAGAAAAATTCTGTAAATTGACTAAAATATTACATATTGACTGAATAAATAACCCCTAAATAAGAATTCTCAAACAGAAGGAGCCAGCTTTTTTTTTTTTTCATATAGTCTATCATATAGTATATTATTTTTATTTATTTAGTGTGCAGATAATTTTGTCTCTTGTCTTTTGTAGAGAGAAGGAAATGCTGAAAAGACGTCTAGAAAAGTTTACTCTGAGTAATCCAGATGTGAAAAACATGAAGATCCTGGTGGCTGGACAAATTGGAGCAGGGAAGTCCAGCTTTATTAACTCTGTCCTTAGTGTCTTTCAAGGAGAAATAGTTAATGAAGCAATAGCTGAAGATTTGGGATCAGCCGCCAGTCACAGTTTCACAAAAATAGTAAGCATTATTTGACTTCTATATTGCACACACAAGACTGTAGCTGCTAAGACTGTAGGAATATGATTTAAGGAAATATAGACAAATCATCAACCAAACCAGACATTCGTTTAAAATCATAAGCATTGTGTGATATTTAAAAATATATCTTGCAATTTTTCTCTGTCTTTGTTTACAGCTGAGAGCATACCGCATCAGAAGTAAAGATGCAGATTTGCCTTTTGAAATCTGTGACATAAAAGGTTTAGAACCTGAAAAAATATCTGAGTGTCAAATAGAAGACATTGTCAACAGCATATTTGGCCATGTGAAGGAGGGATATAAAGTAAGACATTCAATTGAAAGTTAAAGGGGTCATTCACCCAAAAATGAACATTCACAAAAGAAGATATTTTGAAGAATGCTGGTAACCAAACAGTTGCTGGTTGCATTGACTAGAATGAGAAAAACGTGTTACACATTCTACAAAATATTTCCTATTGTATTTAACAGAAGAAAGAAACTCATACAGGTTTGGAACAACTTGAGCGCGAGTAAATGATGACAAAATTTATTTTTGGGTGAACTATCCCACTAACTACATTTATTTAATTTAAAATTAACATTTGAATGTGTACAGTATCTCTCTCATTTTTATATTTTGCTTTTATTTCATACACCTAGTTCGAGGAGAAATCCCTCACTAGTGATGATGAACATTACAATCAAAACCCTTCACTGTCTGATCAAGCATTCTGCCTAGTTTACGTCATAGATGCAAGTAAAATCCAACTCACTGCAGAAGATAAGATAATTACAGAGAAACTGAAGAAGATCCGCCAGACCATCAGTGATAAAGGTAAAACTTTCTGTGATTTTTATCTTTCTTATGCACAACACTGTAATATATAAAAGCTCCTACATTCCACATGGAAACTAGTTTAGCATATGTGCATATTTGAAATACATTTCAACAATAGATAAAGATGCTTTAAGTGAACCAATAAAAATAAAAATTTAATATTATTTGCCTTCAATTTGTCAAAATGTAGATTTGTATAATTTGGATTAAAACACTTTCAGTTTTCTCATTGCAGGGATTCCTCAAGTGATTGTCATGTCTAAAGTGGATGAAGCATGTCCTCTGGTCAAAAATGATCTAAAGATGGTCTACAGAAGCAAGATCATCAAAGAGAGGGTTGGTCATTTAATCATCTATACATGTTGTATGTTGTTTTCTGTAGTTTTACAAACTATTTTGCATTGTGTTTCTGTCCAGATGGAGTTGTGCAGTGCCAAAGTGGGTGTTCCAGTGAGCCACATCTTCCCAGTGAAGAACTATCATAATGAGATTGACACAAACGATGATGTTGATGTTTTGATTCTCAAGGCATTTGATCAGATTGTGCGTTCTGCTAATGCAAGACTGAGGCGTGGTGCTTCCAACATATGAGCTTTCAGGACAAAAACCAACAATAATAGCATTTAAAGTTGAATGAATATGAAATGACCAAAAGTGTATCATCATCTGAATCAAGAGGTATCATCCATTCTCTGAAGGTCATGTGATTTATAAGCATATACTTTTCACCTACTGTTATGTAATATTCAGACATACTACTGATGAAATACAGAAAAGCAGTGTCATATTAATCTGATGCCAGATATATATATATATATCAGCAAGCACTTCTCGAAGAGACACTACTGTAGTGTAAGTACCTTTGAAATAAGGACACAAATAGGCCGTATTTACAGCAAATGTTTTGCTGTAACCAAACATTATGTGTATAAGTTGTGTATAATAAAAGTAATTGAAAAATAAAATTGAAATGAAAAAATAGCTAATCATTTAAGGTTTACAAATTCAAAGTTTGAGAGTTGTCTCATGTTTATAGATTTCACTTGAAAGGCTTTTGAGGAATATTTTAAGATAAATGCTACAAAATGTATAGGCTACACATTTTATTTATGCATTGTTAATATAAAACTATAAAGAACTGATGCTCACTTCTATTTGCGATTGAAATTACAATTTTCCCACATGATCCATAGGTAACAGTGTCTCCCAATTCAATTCAGCAACCCATGCGTCTGTGAGAGTTAAATATGAAATTGTTGATTCTGTCCTTGCTCCTGCTGCACTGACCTTTCTCTGTTAACAATAAAATGTTTTCATGATTGAACCGTGAAAAGCTGTCTTGTTGTCATAACATACTATAACTAAAAATATTTTTAGAAAATTAAACAGTTTCTTACAAACTTATGTGATTTGATAAAACACAATGAAATATAATCGTATATGGGCTACACATGACAATGAATGAAATTAATACAACACTTCTACTTGAATGTCACTATCAATTACTAATGAGTGTTTGTAATAACTTCTGACTGCGATCCAATGTGGATTTTGGTCAAATGATGAGGCAGAAATCATTGTTAGTAACATTCTAGAATAATTTTATGTGGAAGATACACAATTACAACTTCTGTGGGGCGTGAAGAAAAAGTAATGTAACTAGTAGTGCAACTAATTACTGTTGCCTGAAAGTAATAAGTAAAGTAACACTATTACTTTTGAAAGGAGTAACTAGTAATGAGTAATATATTACGTTCTTTGAGTAACTAGCCCAACACTGGCCGAGAGATTCCAGAATGGGTGTGTTTGGGTAAGGAGCCTCTGTTTCCCGCTCACGCTCAGCCCATATAGGAGCGCCGGGATCAGTGAGCTCACGGATAGGCCTACGCCATCCTGCATCCTGGATGTTCTCCGCTGATACATCCTCTCACTTACGGATCTCAAGGGTCCTCACTTCATCCCACCTCTCACGGTTACCATGATGACCGATATAAACACGCTACTCACAGTGCATTGAATTATTCACAAGCATGACATTATTACACGTTTATTTTCAAAAACACTTCAACAGGTGAATCTCGTTAAAACTATCAACCCTATTTAAAAGGAAAAATCAATTCTATTTTGCATAAGAAAAATGAAGCTTATTTTTGCATTTTGGCATTATTTTCATTACAATTAAGCAGATTCCATCCACCAATTCTACTGTATTATTGTAAAAAAAAAAAAAAATACAATTGTAACTATACATCAGTCATATTTGTTGTATAGAATTTAATTTATGCTCATTTATAAAAACAAGAGAGACTTTCTGCTGAACTGTCATGAAAATAATATAATAATGCAAATGTACAAAATGGCCTTAAAATCCTGCATTTTTATGCAAAATATAATTTTGTATTTTTTATTTTGATTTCTGGATTAAAATATGACTACAACATTTATTTGTAAGATTTGTATTCAGAAAGACATATTCAACATTCTTAATGGTTGTAATTATCTTGTTTACGTTGTGAAAAATGTCAGACGTTTATGAGGTTTTCATGTTCTACATCGAAAGCATTGAGGTTTATTTGTTCCGCTCCCTGTGTAATGTAAAAAGTGCACTCATTTTTATGGATGTAAATATTTGACACCATCAACATTTGATGTCACATTTCAGCTTTTTTAAATTTTATGTACAGCACAAAACATTAACACAATATGAAATGAGCTCAGTCTCTGTCTAGACACCAGCATACGTGCCATTGTAGAAGAAAGGCTTGTCTGAGACACAGTGACCTACGTCCTCTGGAGTCCATCTCTGAACCTTTGGCTGGCCCTTCTCATCGGGTCGCACGATGACCGTGCTGTGGGACGCGAGCGAGGGGTCCTCGTCGAAAAAGTTGAAGGGACGCAGGAAGAATCCCACCGTGCTTCCTGGAGTCGCTGTGTTGGGAATGTCTTCAGAATGAGGAATGTGTAAGAATCCCACCGTCACCCAGGCAACCAAATCCTGTGAAAAAAAAATATATATAATTGTCAACTGAGTATTTTTTGATTTTTATATATTTTTGTTTATCTAGTAGTTTACCAATTGCTAGTCAGGGTTATTATCATAAATTAAAAGCAAAACTATTTAAAAAAATTGTGTTAATTAAAATACAATAAAAAAAACTAACAAAAAAATTTAATTTAAGTTGAAATACTAAAATGACTAAAACCAAGACTGAAAAAAAAAATATATAGACATATATAAAAAACACACAGATTACAAATTACTAAAACTTGAAATAAAATAAATAAAGGAAAATCTAAATGAAAACAAATTCAAAATAACGAATAAAAACTATAGTAGTATATTGATACTAAAATAACACTTAAAAAATGTAAATAACACAAAAGTGTTTTATTGACACTGATTTAAGTAGAATTATTATTTGTATTTATTTTTTATTTTATTTTTCATTTTTGCTGTTCCTGTTGCTATGTGGTTCACAGCTTTGGGCATTTGGAGTTAAAATAAGTTTGATTGATGTTTCCATTTATTTACATACATTTTGGGTATTAGTATATTTGGGTAGTATCTGATTAAATTTCTGGTAATCTAGCAGTTTGGCATTGTCAGGGTCTGGCGTCTGGTGTTCTCCCTCTCTCCTCCAGAGGGCGCCAGCTCCATTCCCCAAACCCCATACACCTGTTCACTCATTACACTAATTCCCCAAACTCCACACACCGGTTCAGTCACTCACTCATCACACTCACCCTCAGATGTGCCCCGTCTTCACTGACTATATCTTTTCCTCTCACTCACCACTCGGCCTGGCTGTATTGTGTGTTAGGTAATGGTGTTCGTCGTCCCTAGACCTGTTTTTGTTTTGCCTTGTTGGCCTTTCTGTTTTGAATAAAGAAGTTTTCACCTGCATTTGGACCCAGACCCTTTGTTTACACGGTGTGCTTTCCTGACCGCCCCGTGACAGGCATCTCTTATCAGTGTAAAGCAAATTGTGTATAGTTACTATTCAAACACAGTAATTGCTGTCCAAATATTTTGAATACATGGCTATAGTTTTTTTGTCATCCGATTTTATTTATATACCCATTTAAATACTGATTATGTTGGCTTTGTGTCTACTTTCTAGTGCCCAGGAGGGCCTGTTTGAATTGCACAGAGTCCCATTGGACCTGGAGGTTGAACTGAAGTCTCTTCAAGTCTCTATAAGTCATCTGTGTACCTGGTTAACAATGTTTTCATTGTTGCGAATGAATTCTTCGAAGGAAACAACAGGCTCCCAAGGGTCATTCTGAGTGTAGATGCTAGAGCTGGTGGCCTCGTTGTCCTTGTGTCTTGTTACAGCCAACGGGTATCTGCAATCAACAAAATCACAAAGGTTTGCACAAAAATATAGTGCAAAAGATACAAATGTGTTATTCCTTTAAAATTAATGGCTAAAGCCTACCTTGACCACGAAATACCATTTTCCTCCCTCCAGCCCCGGGGCAAAACGCTGTTAGCATGCGAGTTATACTGGATCCGATAGCCCTTCTTATGCCCCCACTTGTTGTTTTGATTGGGATTGTAGAAGTGCAAGTATTTGGGAAACTTCTTGCCAAAGCGGAAAGCAGCACTGCGTTCAGTTTCATGCTGTGTCCTATGCAGTTTTGATTGCACAATGGAGTGTCCTGGGCTCCAG